CAAATATTTACCCTGCTCTTCTGGAGCTGCTGAGAGATGGAGCGGCTTGTGGAAACCGCAATATTCTGTGTCATTGTTAAGGAGGAAAAGAGATGCTGAGGTAATCAAGCCGAGTACAAAAGCCGCTGTTTTTCCCTCTCCTGTGATCAGAAGCCCCTGGGCTCCCTCAGCACCAGCACATTCCCCGCAAGGAGCAGGCCAGGCTGGGTCTTTCCTGTGGCTCCCATCAGCGCTGCCCCGCGCAGAGCAAGAGGGGCCCCGTGGCAGGAGCAGGTGCTGCCGGGTCACAGTGCCCCTTGCTGAGACCCTTTCCTGCGGGGGTGTGTGGCCCTGGCTCCCCACACCCACGGGATGTTGGTGTGACCTCCTCCATGGTGCTCATGGTGGGCGGAGGATGAGGATGAGGGGGCAGCCCTGAAGGACACAGCACTTCTGAGAGCGACAGGCATCGCTAGGGAATGTCGCCCCAAATATTTACCCTGCGCTTCTGGAGCTGCTGAGAGATGGAGCGGCTTGTGGAAACCGCAATCTTCTGTGTCATTGTTAAGGAGGAAAAGAGATGCTGAGGTAATCAAGCCGAGTACAAAAGCCGCTGTTTTTCCCTCTCCTGTGATCAGAAGCCCCTGGGCTCCCTCAGCACCAGCACATTCCCCGCAAGGAGCAGGCCAGGCTGGGTCTTTCCTGTGGCTCCCATCAGCGCTGCCCCGCGCAGAGCAAGAGGGGCCCCGTGGCAGGAGCAGGTGCTGCCAGGTCACAGAGCCCCTTGCTGAGACCCTTTCCTGCGGGGGTGTGTGGCCCTGGCTCCCCACACCCACGGGATGTTGGTGTGACCTCCTCCATGGTGCTCATGGTGGGCGGAGGATGAGGATGAGGGGGCAGCCCTGAAGGACACAGCACTTCTGAGATCCACAGAGGCCCTCGGCACCCTGGCCCACGGCGGGGCAGCAAAGCTGGCCCGTCTTGCAGGGCTGAGTGGCCCGAGCAGCACCGGTGTTCAGGCCACTTTGTTTAGCTGTCCCTTGCCATCCCTCAGGACGTAGATCTCATCATTAATCCTCCGTGCTGTCACGTTTTCCTGTCCTTGCTTTTTCCTCTCAATGCCATTATCGTCTTCCTTCCTCTTTGCCCTCTCCTTTGTCCTTGCCTGGCTTCCCGTTATCACTCCTGCCAAGGTGTGTATGTAGCTGTGAGTAAACACTAGCTCCCAGCAGATCAGAAACACTGTGTGCACAACTGTCCCTCAAGAGAGCCTTCCGCTGCAAGCCTCACAAAGTCCTCTCCTCCCGACAGACTCCTCAGTGCTTCATGAGGACCTGCGAGTGGGAGCTGCTCTTCCAAGCACACCGTTTTTACTGGGAAATCTCAAATGGAAAATGACAGCTCAAAAAACTCCATATCAAAAATCTCATTCTAGCTTTGGATTTCTTTCTCCAGAAAGTTTCTTGCACATATATATATAGTTTCTTGCACGTATATATGGAAGCTTCACCTGTCTTCCTACCCACTCGTTCCTAATGAGGGGAAAGGAGAAATACAGCTAGTAGCAGACAAGGAACAGATAAATGATGAAAATAATTATAGAGCCCAGGAAAACAGATTTCTCCCCTTTTCAGACACCCTTCTTTTCTTCTGCCTTACCTGGAAAACTAGGCAGAAATAAAATGTAGTAGAATGGAAAAGTACTTCAGCTTCTCACATGAGAAGCCACCAGTTTCTAAAATAGTAGCACTATTTGATGCCTCAAATTTAAATACAAAGAAAACACAACATTCTCATTAGATTGTCATCCCTCTTCTGCGACTCACTGAGGTGTTTTCTGCTTTTGCTAATTACTGGTTTGTGTTCAAATGAATTCACTTCATGATCATGTTCCTGAGGTCAAAGCTCTTCCCAAGTGATCAGTGTCTTTCCTTTCTCTCCACAGTTTAATGGCAGGAATCATTGCAGGGATGCTTGCTAACCATGACACAGATACCTGCGTCCGGATGGGTCTTCTTGCTGCAAACTTGTCTCTCCGTTCCTATGAGCCCATTTCCCCAGAAATCAGCACTCGCAGTGTCAGCTTGGATCAAGTCAAGGGCAGGAGCTGGCCAGAGGTGAAGATATGGGAGATGAACTAAATTTTCTGCACCATGGCTTTCTCATGCACTACCTTATCCTTCCTAACACAGCCAGGCAGCAGAATGTTTCGAGTTTCAAGCTCAGAAACTGACTGCTGCCCAGACGACTTGGACTTGCAGTGCACATTATACCTCTTAGGAGGTACACTGACAAGGGACTGCCTTTGGTGACAACTTGTATTGTGCTGTACACACTCACCTTTTGTCAGCTGTTGCTTCTCTCTTTTCTTTGGTGTGTTGAATCTGCTTGATTCTTCTGTATGCCACCTGTTGTGAATTTATATCTCATCTCATGTCCTAATGGGAGCACTTAGCTGTTCTGATCTTGAGTAAAATTGCTCAGGCCCCAAGCCAGGGAACCCTTGTAAAGAAAAGCAGGATTCAGCTCTTTTAGACCTTCTGCTTCTCTTGATCACCATCTTGTGTCACTGTTGGACATTATCACAGCAGCTCCTCTGTTGCTACCTTCCAGATCTTTGGGACCATTTCCCGTTAGGCAGGCCCAGCAGCACGAGACTGTCTTGCTCCTCACTCTTGATTTCTCTCCAACATCTCCCATGAACATCTTCCTCGAGTCTTGCCTGTGACAAGATTAATCTGGCAGGCACATAATGCTGCAGACTATGTTACTGATTTTTCCCAGGCCATTTTCTGCTGGATTTTCCTGCTCTGAAGTTCATCATCCCTGAAGAAAGTGGGCAGGAATAATCAGAGTTACATAGGGCCCAGCTAGTGGCCTTTGGATTCCTAAATCCTCAGCTCAGAATGTCAATTCTGAAGCAAAAGACATCAAGCAGCCCGGCTAAAAGGAATGGAACCAGCTCCTCTCTTAACTCCTCCATTTCCAACCCACTTGGCAACCCATTGGATATCTGACATAGGAAGTTTCCCACCCACGGGTGACTGAACAGCCGCACTGATAGACACCCATGGCCCAGCCACCCTCATGGAGCAATGTGTGCAGGGGCCACATTGCCTGGTCGCACCTTCCCTTCCCTCTAGTGTTCAGGAGCAAGGAGAATCCCAGCACCATCACTGAGGATCGGGACAATCATAGTGTTGCGAGGGAGGTGGGAAAGCACAGGCCTCATCTACAGACAGACCTGCAAGTTGTGTAAATCAGATGATGCTCCCAAGCTCACAATGAGTCCATGGCAAAGCAAGGCACAGAACCAAGCTGCCTCTGCCTAGCTCTGCCCCAGCTTTGAGCTGCATGGCAATACCTCTGCCTTGAACCTTTCCAGCATCTTTATCAGCAAGAACATCTACACTCGGGTCAATTTCATACAAATTAAGTCATGTCCACAGGCTTTTAGCAATTAACTAACACATCTAGCTTGGCCGTGGAAATCAGCTACTCAGTCCCCTGTCATGTAGCTTGCCTCCCGGAGAGAGCTCCTCTGGTTTTCTTCCAGCCCTGGAGAGATTAAACTTTAGGCAGCTTTGCCTCTGCTGTTTAAGTGTTACACAGGATCACTCATTGCTGAAGGGACAATAACACGTGGTGGCAGTGGGTGAGTACAGGGGATCTCTGTGGGTCTCGGAGGGTGCTTGCTCGCTTGCACCTCCAGAGCCAAGGCCAAAGGCTCAGGGCTGCTGAGCCGTTCCCAGATCTCATATGAGGCGGCAGTGACCATGCAAACAAATCCCTGCTCCACATCACAACAGCCACCATGTAATTGCAAACACCAAAATGATGGCTGTGGGAAAGGGTCAGGCTTCCAGCACAGGCCTGAGGCACCCGATCAACTAGCTGGTACTGATTGTGGCTTCCTAGTTCAGCGTTACAACAGCTGCACATGAAAACACGTATTTTTTTTTGCTAGAACTGCTTTGCTGTTTGTACAAAGAATTATAGCAGTGGGTATGTAGAAATGATTTGTGACTTATCTGAGCTCTGGCCTCCTAATGGCCCAACCTCCATCCTGCTCACGTGCAGAAAAGTGGGATAGCAGCTCTGCAGAAGAGCCTGTGGTGGTGGAAGATTTTCTTCTTCAGCTTAAAAGCTGTGATGGGCACAAAGAAAGGAGGAAGCTTCTCTCAGATTGCATCTAAAGCCAATGTTGTAAACAGGATTAAAAAAGGAAAAAAAAGAAAGTCAGGAAAGACAGATTTCTCCAAGGACACTGGAAAGCAGTGGTATTTGGTTTCCATAACTGGAAATTTCATAGAATAAAAAGTATATTCCTGGAGATAAGAAAATTTGGTTTTGACCCGCAAATGACCATGTTGCTGGCACAGCAGCTCTGTAGGAGGCCGCTGCTGCCGTGCTGGTCCTGCAGGACCAGCCTTCGAGTGCCTGGGCAGTAGCACGCACTGCCCTTTGCCAGACTTTTCCCTTTGCTGGGAACGGGTAGCAGAGAGCTCCTGCTGGTGCTGGATGTAGCCCAGGCAATGGCCCCCTGACAAGGCCACCAAGGAGCGGGAGAAGGCCTTGAGCAGAGCCCAGGATGGATGAGCTGCTGCTGGCTTCCAACGGGCTTTGCCCGCCTCGGACTGGCGGTGTCTGCTTCCAACCAGGCCAGGTCACAGAGAAGCTGTTGGCGGCAGGTTGTGACCATGTGCTAGGTGCTTGGTTGGCCACCAGCACCAACATCTTGTATTTGCAACCCCCAAACCATCCCCGTCAAATACGGGCCAGTGTTAGGGGGCAAGAGCACAGCAGCATGAGGAGAAGTCAACGTGCTCCCAACAAGAGCTGCATAGGCTGCGACTGCAGTCCCTGTTAGTGTTTGGCAAACAGTTTAGTGAATGCTGGAACTAATCTAACCTAATTGCCAGCAAATTTAGCTCTGGATGTTTTTCTCGAGCAGAGTTACGGTAAGCCAGGAGTATGCCCTCACCCTGTTGCATGCAGAGCATTCACACCAGTGAGGGCCCTTGAGCGAGGAGCAAACCTCTAGTGTCCAGTAGGACACAAAAGCCACCTGAAGCAAGGTTGGGACATCTGCAACGTGACCCTCCAGTGTGGACTCTCAGTGTTTTATCAGAAATGAGCTTCCACTGGAGCCCGTGGAGGAATTCACTGGGTTTCTTTCCTCCACCCAGCCAACTTCCACAAAACCTGTAGCAGCTCATCACCTCTGAGCCTGCGACCTTCCTGTCAAACTTGGCTAAAACTGTCCAAGAATTGAAAAGGCACGAGGGATGAGATGGAGCTGACAGAGCCATTTATCATCCTGGCGTTATCTCCTTAAGAAACAGGAACACGAGTATGACAGCTGCCTTTCCTGAGAGCGAAAGGACCCACTTGCATCTTACACACTCCTCTCCCGTCTCGCGTGCCAGCCCTTCACCGGCAGCCCCGCTTGCCTGCTCCGGGCTCACCTGCTTCTGCCTGTGAGAGCTGCTCAGCTAAACGCCCTCCGCCCGTGCGCGGGGAGCGCGTGCAGGCGCCGCGCACAGCCGGACACCCCGAGCCGCCTGTGAGGAGCCGCGCGGCGGTAGCGGTGGTAGCAGTGGGAGGGTGCCGGGCACTTTGGGAGAGCACTGGAGGGGATGGGACCTGCGGGAGCAATAGCAGCCCCGTTTGCGCACCAAGGGGAGGTGGGACATGTCGGGGCGGGAGGAAAGGGCTGAGTGCCCTGGGGCAGGGCCCTGCTCTATAAAACGCTGTCAGCACCCGGTGGTAGGGAAGCGGGGAGCCCCAGCCTCCATCCTCCTGGCGAGCAGAACCCCAGGTGAAGCCACCAAGGGAGGATGCAGGTGCGGGCACTGGCCGCCGCAGCCGTCGCGCTGCTGCTGCTCTCCTCGGCCCCCGCTCTGGCGGAGGGAGCGTGGGGCCGCGTCCCGGAGAGGCAGCCGGGAGCCCGGAGCCCTGGAGCAGACCCTCTGCCTGCAGGTGAAGGGGACAACGTGTCCGGGCAGGGCTCAGCGAGAGGCCTCCCCGCTGGCAGCGAGGGGAAGGGGGCCGCCCCGGCTGGGCTCCTGCTGGGCAGCGCGAGGCAGGACAGGCCTCCGAGGCACCAGCCCTCCAGGAACAGGGGCCTGGGGCTGAGCCACCACCTGAAGGGCTACGGGAAGTTCAACTCGGACACGGTGAGTGAGACCCCTCAGCCGGCCCTCCGTGCACGCGGCATCCGTTGCGTGGGGGGCCCTTCCTGGGCCCCTGGCCTACCCCCGGCCCGGGAGCAGCACACAGAGGGTTTGCAGGATACAGCTGGGGGACAGGGTCATTGCTCTGGCCTCAAGAGCTCCCAGCAGGGCCACAGAAAGGGCCTCTCTGCTCCGCTTGACAGCTCCACTGCTTTCGCTGGGGAGGCAGTGGGAGGATCTCTGGTGCTAAAGGCTGCCAGCAAGGAAACCCGGCTGAGGTCCTTGGCTGGTTTGCTCAGCACCTGGCTAGGAACAGGTCCCGAGTCTGAGCAGCACCACAGCTGCAGAGACAAGAAAAATGCCAGGACAACCCCAAAATGTAACTCCAAGTTGGAATACGGGGGAAAAAAGCGTATTCTCACATTCTAACTAATCTGAGTTAGTGTTTTTCAACGCAGCTGTTCCCAGCAAGTTTTACCACCCAGGCACTTGCAGTTGAACGACTAGACCTTAGCACCAGGCATCGGTGGAGCCCAGCGATGGACTTCCCCTCCAGGCAGAGGTGCCATGGCGTGCTCAGGCCTAGGCCGGCGCTGTGCCCTCAGGCCTACACGGGCACGGCGCCCTCAGGCCTAGGCGGGCACGCTACGCTCAGGCCTACACGGGGATGGCGCCCTCAGGCCTAGGCGGGCACTGCGCGTGTGGCAGCGCGGAGGAAACGGCCCGCGCTGGGGTCGCCCGTGCGCAGCCCCCCGGCTGCCCAGCTCTGCCACTGCAGGCTCCGGCCTTTGGTTCAAGAGCCGTCCCTCACGGCTTGGCCGGGCAGAGCTGGGGGCAGGCACAGCTCTTCGCTGCACCCAAAAGATCTGCTTTGCTGCCTCACCTCCCTGGTAAAGAACTGCTCTTATCTACCAGGTCATAACAGCTTTGAGAGAGGTTACAAACAAACTTACAGAAACCAGTATGCCCCGCAGGAAGGTGCCTATGCGGTCCCCTGCTCCCTGCACCCACCTGGGAGCAACCAGAAAGCTTAGTGGCAAAGCCCAGACTAAAACGGCGCTGCTTTGCAAGGTGTTAGCCTGTGTCTTCAGTCTCTCCTGGCAGACTGTCCCTCCTGTTTGAAGGCAGTTGTCCAGGAGAGGGCTGGCACCTTCTTCTCCCTGTAGATGCAAGAGTTGCTTTCCAGGAAAAGGCCAGGGAAATCCATTTCAGTGGGAAACTGACGGCCCAAGCTCTTGCTCTACATGACCACCGGAGCAACGTAATGCAAACCTCACGCAGGCTTTACGTTGTTTCACTGTTGAACACGAAAGCCCAACATCCAGCAGCAAATGCTCATCCTGCTGTATCCTATAACCTTCCACACCTTGGTTTCCTCACGGGCGCCTCTTCAGCCTGCCTGGGGAAGGCCTGGGGGATCTTCTGAGCTCCTCTAATTTCCCGACTTGTGGCTGCTGCCAGTTTGAAAGAGCTGGACACAGGAGCCCCGGGGCCGAGGCGCCGACCCTGCCCCGAGGCGCCGGCGCCACGGCCTCCTCTCCTCCCTCTGCAGCACTCCTGCCACGGGATCCAGTCGCGGCCCTGCCAGAAGGCCTCCGACTGCGACGGCTGCCTCGGCCTCTACACCTGCAAGGCGCCCAAGGGCACGTGCGACCTGAAAGCGGTTTCCCGGGAATGAGGTAAAGGGAATGTCCCTTTGTTGGCAGCGCCTCACAAAATGGGGTCTCCCCCAGGAAGCCTCGGGAGGGTCTTGTCCCCCCGTTCAGCTGCCAGGGGAGAGGCCAGGCCCTGCACCAGGGCTCTGCGCCCCGCCAGGCCACAGACTTCTGCACAAGCCTGGGGAAACTTAGCTGCCAGCCCTGGACTTGAGCGGCCACATCTGCCCCACGAGCGCCTTGGCAGCCCTTGGCAGCTTGTTGGCTGAGAAAGCATGGGAGAGGAGGAGATGCACCGGGAATGAAGTATATATAGCACACAGGGCATACCCGCTACACACGCTCTGCATGTGCTCTCTCCTCTGGAAAACGCTGCCGGCACAGCCTGGGGGAAGGTGCTGGGCTAAGGGGACCTGTGGTTGGCCCCAGCCCATCTGTTCTTACGTCTTTTCTTGGCAGGTGGATTCCTCCAAAGCACATAAAGCACTTAGAAGACAAGTGATGCTGCTCATCCTGGAGAAACACAGCTTGACATAACACTGGAGAGGCCATCCTACAACTGGAGATCAACTTTTTGTCTAAGTTTTGTTTTAAACCTTTAATTAGAAACTTGTAAGCATTTCTTCCACTGTGCTTTTCCTGCCACTGTTTTTTTAGCCTCTGGGATTTGTGAGCTGCGTAGGTTTGATTCCTGCTTTCCTTAGAGCTGCCAGCGGACACATTCAGGGGGCAGAGCGCGCTGTGCCGGCAGGGCACACTTGAAGCTGCCCTGTTACCTGCAGCCCCCAAACGCAGCAAAGGTGACTATTTTACAGTCCATTTGATTTTGAGCTGCTAGGATATTTCAGCATGTTCTCGTGGAAATTGGAGTTTGGCTAAGAAGCCTGTTAGGCTCAGGCATCCCAGGACACCCTCCCAACTCCTCACAGCAGCTCCAACAGAGGAAGAACCCCCCTGGGCGGCCGGGGGAGCCTGCCACGTTCCCGCCGGTGCCGCGGCCCTCACTGTGCCGCACGGTGCTCACAGCCACGTGGGCTGACGTCTGCTGCAGTCACTTTCCTGGTCTTCAAAGCCTTGGTTTAACCTTGCCAATTCCTCGGTTCCACAAACCACCTCTCATTCTCATGTCACCTCTCTCTGTACTGTCACACCTGGAACCAGACGCGGCAGCTCCTACATCTCAGTATCTTCCCCCCCCCTCCGGGCTGTAATAAGTGAGTGCGGTATTGTAATGACTGTAATAAAGCCTTTTTACACTTTGCCAAGAGTCCCACAGCAGAGACTGCAATAAACGTGTGCAGCATTGCAAGAGCTCGGTGTGTTAAGTCTGGGGAAGGGCAAAGGCGACACCACACGTTTCCAGCAGCAGCGCTAACTGCGGGCCTTGCCCCTGGGGCATGCTCCGTGGGACGCATGTGCAGGCCCAGCTGTGAGCGGGTTTGTCTGCTCCCATTTGGTCGCTGCTGCAACTGTCCCCACGTATCAGCTGGGAGGTTGCGGTGCTGCCGGTCGACTGGTACCCACACACAGTGTGACAGCCGGGTAGGGGGGCTGCCACGGCCTCAGTCCTTGGGAACGCAGGGTCATCATAGAATCATCATCATCATAGAATCATTATAGAATGCTTAAGGTTGGAAGGGACCTCTAGAGGTCATTCTAGAGGTCAAAAGAGGGTCAAAAGAGGCCAGCAGCTACGGGATCCTCAGCTCCTGCCACACTGATGGAAATGAGATCCTTTGAACGTTGACATTGCTCCCAAGGGCCCTCTCACCCACAACAGCCCACTGAGCACAAAGGACCTCAGACCATTTGCCAAGGCCCAGCAGTGCTGCACTGCACAGCTGCCCCACATACTGCTGCTACTACTGCCCCTCGCCTGCACGCACCTCTCGCCTCCAGCACCTCCGGCACCTCTCAGGGCAGAGGGGGAGGTTTTCCATTCAGCAAGCTTCCCCTTGGTCTCCTTTCCGAAGAGCAGCGGATGCTCCAGCCGCTCTTGGCTGGCTGCGCTCACAAGCAGCGGAAGGGAAACAGCTTCTGCCAGACCTCAACCCCCGGCATCCTCCACAGCCCTCCGGTGTGCCGCTCCACCTCTCCTTCCCAAAGGAAGAGGAGGCCAGCGGGCAAACTGGAAAGGGGGCAACTGCAAGTCCTGACGCCTCCCTCCAGAAAGCACAGAGCAAAGCAGCAGCCGCACTCCTCCTCCCTGCTTCCTATTGCTCTCCCAGGCGGCTTGGAGGGCCCTGTGTTGCCGGGGGCTCCTTCCTCTCCGGCTTCCATCAGCCACAGAGAGGGCTTCCCAATGGCAGGAAGTGCCAGAGAAGGAGAGCAAGCAGCAACGCCGCGAGCTGGGCAGGAGCCCCTCCAGGCCGCCCCTTCAGAGAGGTCCTCTCATCGAGCGTCCCTGGTTGACACCATCAACGTCACTGACATCCCCATCAGGTTGAGCTGATGGATTCTGTTCTAAGCAGCCTTCCCCAGCACCGTTATGTTTCCTCACACTGCTGGAGGGGCATCAGCAGCTGCCCCCACGTGCAGAGGGGCGAGCGCAGACACACAGCCCTCTCCCCCAAGGAGCACCCGCGGCGCCGCACACCTTTTACACCACTCACTTTTAATTACATTGCATAAGAAAAGGCCTCTCCTTGTGCCAGGACGCCCTGACACGGCCACCCTAGTGTCAGGCTGGCCCATCAAGGCCTCAGTAGGTTTAGTGGTTCCCCCTGCTCATAAGCTCCTCCTGGTCAGTCTGCATCCTTGCAGTCCTCAGTGTCCTCTGTTTGGCAAAGACCTGTTTCCACACATCTCCTCCTTCCTCCCCTTCTTGGTGTTTGAGCTCTGCTCAGTCCTCGTGGGAGTCCCATCCTGGCCCCTGTGACACCAGGGGGAGAGGAGGCAGGGCAAGAGTCACTGGTTAATATTTGTTCTAACCCCAACATAAATAGGAAAATACAACAAACCAAAGGATTGACTAGCTAAGAGATCCAGTCCGCTGGGACAGCTGCAACATGCCAGCGCCGAGCTCCAAAAGCGCTTGGTCCAGTGCACGGTACTGTAGGAATCCAGAGGCTCGTCCTGGCAGCTCCGCGGTCACCGCATGTTCCTGAGGCACCGGCACCCGCGCGAGCGCGGCCCGGCCTCCTCCTGTGCCCAGGGCCAGCTCGCCCGAGGCTGCTGGCCCCTGGCAAGAGCGGGGTTGGGGCTGGCAGGCCACGGGGGAATGACTGGTAACGGTCCGATTTGTTGCTGTTGAACGGTAAAAACCCTTCTCTTCTATGGAACGAGCACATGCTTCAGTCTTATTTTTTGTGGAGGAATTTCATTTTGCTGCCTGAAGAGATGGAGAAAGAAAAACAGACTTAGCACAGGACTGGGCAAGACAAGTGCTGCTGTCCCCACTGCCGCTGCCTGAGCAAGTCCATGCAGAGAAGTGCCGCTGCTGCCAGCGCCAGGTCCTTACCCCGAGCAGGTTGCTGCCCTGCTCACCGCACGGAGCAGCTGCAGCCTGGCAGCCACCCAGGAACGGCGCCCGGAGCCCAGCAGCAGCAGCCTGGAAGGCCAGCGCGTTCCTGGCTCACTTGGCCAGACTCTGTGTGGGAAGAGGCAGGGTCCTCCGGCCCCCCATGCTCTGCTGCTCTTTCAGAGCAGCCAACATGAGAGGCAGCGATGGGACCTGAGCACAAGACCCAGCCCTCTTAGCTAGGCTGTCCAGGCCCATAGGCCTCATCAAGGGCTTCTAACCTGTGACTGGAGCTGCCTTCCTGAGCCCTTGCAGTGGCAATTGAATTCAGCCTCTCAATACTCCTCAGCAATTCCTACCGCTAATCCCCCAGTGAGAGCTCAAGCCTGGGGAGACTTTGTCACTGCCCCCACGCGGAGGAGCATCCGCCACCCCTGAGCTCACTCCATTGCCTCCTTAGGGCCTCCATCCTCCTTTGGGAGTCTCAGGAGGCGCTCACAGGCCAGTGCTGGCACCCCACAACCTCCAGGCAGAGGAGCATGGATCAGCCGCGAGCGGAGCAGGGACAGCCCAGGCAGTGGTTCCCCTCACTGCTCCCCCGCTGCCAGGGCTCGGGCACTGCTCACTGCACTCAGAGCTCTGCCACGCGCAGGCACGGCCACAGTCCTGACGCCCTCTGGTCAAGAACCCCTGCTGCTAAGTCTCTGGGCATGGTGACATGGAAAGAAGAGCCCAGACCTCAAGACGAGCCAGTGGCTTTGCTAGCCCCTTACCCAGTCCTTTCAGGAACCTATTGACTCCACTCTGCTCCCCACTGGGAAGTGTTTCCAGGTACTCCTGAGCCCGTACCTCAAACAGACCTGCAAGAAGAGACAGAAGTCAGCAACTTCTATTTTGCTTCCTTGTACATGAAAATAAGAAGCACACCAGAAAGCACATGGTCCTGCTTACCGACAAACTGTTGCCCAGGGTAACAAACAACTCGCCCAACCTTCTCTATCAGCAAAGCTCAAATGTGGGACAGGAGCTTTGTCTGTGTCCAGGGGGCTCCCAAACAGGCTGCTACCTCCCTCCCAGCACTGCAAGCCCGAGCGATCTGTTGTACTTCGCAGGGGAAGAGACGAATCCTCCGTTCGTTCTGCTGTGAACATGGCTAAGTCCAGAAAGTGACATCATCTGGGGAAGCGTCACACGGGATCCAGGCTTTAGCACCCTGCAAACACTCCTTTACCCCCCACCTACTCAAAAGTCCACTGCTCATCAGTGCTGTGAAGGGAACTGCTAAACCAGCGCTGAGCTGCAGACGGGATGAGACACTGGCTGCCAGCAGAGCCCGAGGGGCCATAGGACAACCGGAGTGACACAAGCAGCAGCCCTGGGAAGGACATCTGTATCTTTTGGCAGGCCAAACAGCCATAACTAAGGCTGGCCGCCCCTCCTGCGGACGTGCTCCCCCAGGGCCCATGCCCTGCAGGAAGGAGGGCAATGACAAACGAAGTGCCAGCAACAGGCCCTCCCGTGACAGGCACTGCATCCAGCGAGGACTGGAAGGGGCACAGCAGGATGCAGCTTATGTCACTTCTTGCAGTGGTGAAGCGTGGCTGTAACCCCAGCGAGGAACTACCTCATTCGGGAAGATAAGGAAACAGAGACAATAATATCCACGAGGACTTCTTGAAGCCCACATGGGGACACCGGAACGGACCGTCAACCCACACTAGAGCTTTCCTGCTGCCTCCCTCCTAGCATCCCTGCACAGCACAGCTTCCCACACACTGGGCATGGAGCTGGCAGCCAGCGTGAAGCCTCGGCTCTGGCAGGGGCAAGAGCGGTGCCGGCACGTGAGCCAGGCAGAGCCCCTCACCTCTGACCCCCTGCTTGCGCAGCTCCCGCTCCTGGATGAAGCCCCCGAACATCTGCGTCTCCATGAAAACCTCCAGGAAGCGCCGGAGGCTCTTGGAGGAGACGGACTTGCGGAAGGCCTCGCGCTGCAGCGTCCGCTCCTCCCGCTCGTTGAGCGTCAGGAAGAGGGAGTAGTGGCCCACGATCTCCACGAAGAAACGCACGAAGGCCTCGGACACAACCTCGTTCAGAGGGCTGGACTCTGAGGAGAGAAGGACGAGGCCGGGGTGAGGGCTCTGCTGCGAGGCCGGGTGAGGGGCAGCACCCGTGGCACCCCAGCCGCTCCGCGTACGTCCGCCCCGGCCATGTCAGAGCAGCCTCAGTGCAAAAAGCTCAACAGAGACACCACCCTAGAAACACTGGCAGAAAGGGGGCAGGCTGCCTTTAATTTGAAAGCTCCCTAGCCCTGTCCTGGCTCTTCTGCAACCAGGTGTTACCCACATACGCGTAAAAAGAGCGTGCCCAGCCCAGTCCTGCCCTGCTGCTTCACAGACCAATTCTGTGCTTGGACTGTCCACTAGAGGCACCCGCATCATTCCCATGATTATTCTGCATCATTCACATGGTTACGAGCAGAAAGAGGTCTGTGTAATCCCCACCTGAAAGGATTCCAGATGCTCTCTAAAGCCATAAGGAAATGAAGGACAGAACCAAGAAGGGAATAAGGGTTGTGCAGTGTGATATTTAATAAAACTGCAAGCAAAATCCTGACCTATCTCCGATTTCTGCGGTGTTAAACTCAGGCCAAATCTACTTTTTTTTTCTCTAGGGAATGACAGGAGAAGAACAGGCAGGAAGAGACATGGTTTTACACTGAAAGACGCTGTGCTTTACCCTGCTTGCCATTTACAGAGCCCTCCTCCTTGTCGCTTGCCAGCTCGTTCCTCTGCTCCAGGATGTGCTCTAAGGCGGCCTGCAGCTTCCGAGGCAGGATGGAGTCCTCATCTTCCATCTGCAAAACAGAGCCACGTCCTCAGGGCCTGGGGCTGCCACATGGCAGGGACCTGCCCTTCCCCTCCACCAGCCCCTGACACAGCAGGGCAGCACTGAAAATGAACTGCAAGGCGAGGAGAGGGAGAACTCCTCATACACTTGGCGCCTTCCCAACACCTCCCAGCCAGGACTATCAAGAAAGGATGGGGGGAGCAGAAAAGGGAGTGTCTTGTCCCAAATACTGTCCTATTTTGGAAGGATTTCAGGTCTGACCTGAGGGGCGACCTGCCAAGGCTCACCCTCAGCTCCACGCTCCATCTGAGAGCACCAATAACTCCTCAAACAAAACTGGGGTGCACGGTGCTGGCGTGCAGCCAGGCAAGCACAGCTGCCTGCTTAGCTTTGCTCACACAGCGATCAGGTTACTGCAGATCCACGGGCACCTCTGTGTGAGCTCTTACCAACCCCGGCTGAGATGATGCGATTTAGCTTAAACCTCCAAGAGAGGTAGAAGTGAAGCATTTCACTCCCCCTCTGCCACTAAAAGGATGCAAACACAGCACTGCCTTCCTAAGTGCAACCCATACAGTGTAAGCGGCTAAAATGAGGAACCACAAACTCCAAAGGGCAGGAAGGGATTTGAATTCCTGCTCAGGGCAGGCTAGGAGGTAGGAAAGGGACTGGCGGACGCAGACTGGAAGAGTCGCAGCTCCCTGGGAGCTGCAGCTGCTGCCCAGGAGACGGCGCGGAGCTTCCCTTCTGCCCGGTCTCATGGCATGTCACTAAAGGGCCTGCAGCAGCCAGTGCCACGGCTTCCTCTTTAGACAAAAAAAAAGAAAAGAAAAAGGAAAAATAGTAATGCACAACGCTGTGGTCCTTAACATCTGCAGTTGCTTTGGGACTCCAATACTACATCTGTTAGGCAGTGGCCGCTACAACACTGCAGCCACAGATCCTGCCTCGGTCTGCGTGGGGAGCCAGCGCTTCCGTGAGGCAGGCAGTTTGTGCAGAGAGGGCCCGGGGCAAGGCACGTCCCAACAGGGTCACAGAAGATGCAGGACATGAAATGGCTCTGCTCACCTGTCTCAGAAACCGGTTATTTACAAGGTCAACCACAAGGACCTAACAGAGAAGAAAAGCAGCAAATCGTTATTCCCATCATTGCGTTTATCCCACACTCCAGCCGCTCCGGAGGAAGCGCTTCAGCCCCGCGCG